GGATGGGAATAAACTTAACAGTGTTATGAAGGAAAGGGAACTTGATGTAATAGTCGATCAGTCTCTAAAGCAATCCAATCATTTTGCTGGACAAGTAGGATCTTAGGTTGTATCTACATAAATATTGAATACAAGTCTAAAGAGGTTATAATTTCATTGTACAGGTCACTGGTTAGGCCACATTTGGAATATTGTGTTCAGTCTTGGGATCCTTACTTTAAGAAAGACATTGAATTGTTGGAAAGGGTTCAGAGAAGGGTTACTAGAATGGTGCCTGAGATGGAGTGTTATGATACAAGGAGATGCTGAAATGTCTCAAATTGTTTTCTCTTGAAAAAAAGAAGATTTAGGGGAGATCTGATTGAGGTGTTTAAGATTGTAAAGGGAATTGATAGTTTTGATGAATCATCTTTTTCCATATTTAACAGTGAGAATAGTAAGACTAGGGGACAGAAATATAAATTTTGGCAAAGTAGGAGTCATTTTCAGCTAAGACAGTCTCATTTTTCTAACAGGGTGGTTGGCATTTGGAATGTGTTGCCTTTGGATGTTGTAGAGGCAGTAAATTTAAGTGAGTTTAAGAAAAAGCTTGATAAGTATATAATTGATAAGGGCTGGCTTCAAGATTTTTTTTAAATTATTTTAATTTAGCTTTGAAGATGGAACAGCCGTGATGGAACAAGAGGTCCCATTTTGTTCCAAAACATTATGTTATGTTATTACACTAAACATGAATTTTTAAGTTGATGAAAAAGATAATTTTTTTTCATTTTTTATTATTCTCTTTACCAAATAATTCAAAAGAATCTTGCTGGTAGTGGAAATTGAAACAATATGTGTATATACATGTGTGTGTGTGTATATATATTTTTTTCCAGTGATACTATATATAGATGCTGAAGTACAATAGATTATAAAGACCTAAATGACTAATTTCACTGTTATTTCGTAGGTACAAAGATGGATTACCTTTAAATGGTAATGAAAGAATCAAGATCTTCTCAGAAAATAATTCTGTCATTGTGAAAATGACAACTGAAAGTGACACTGGTGAATACACGTGTGCTGTAACTAAACCTAACATCAACTCTACTATCCTTGTACGAAGTGAGTGTTCTGTTTTAGCCTGATATCAATACACACACATATTATATGTACTTGCATTATTTGTAGTTTTTGTTTATTTGTAACTCACCTGTACACATATTAGTTTTATTTTCCTTTTTTGTCATTAATATTTAAACATTTATTATTTCTAAACCCTCTTTCTGTATTATTCATGTTTTGTAATGAACACCACAAAAAAAAACTTCAGGTTTTTGTACATTGTATCAGATTTTATTATTTTTATGTTAATATTCGAAAGGATAATTTAGTATTATTACCCTCTCTGTCCAGGTATCATTTACTGTGCATATCATGAGGTTTTAGTGACTTAAATTCAAAATTTCCTTTTGTTTATGTTATACCAATTAATGTAACATAAAATCATAGCTATTAATCCATATTTTAATAGTATATAAGTTTTAAATCTTGAATTTTTTTTAGTGTGAGAAATGTGACATTTTTTCTCGGCATTCCCTCTTTATTTTATTCACTACCCCTCCAATAAATACGAAATTTAATGTAAATTACTCACTATAAAACCGTCATTGCTCAGACAGACCATAATTTTTATAGGATTCAATTTTGTTTGGTTACAAAGCCATCAAATAGAAAATTAGACCCCTCTTGCCGCATGCACCTGTCACATCCTGTCTTATGTTTAATTTTATATTATGTATAACCAATAGAAAGCCAAGGTTTTCATCTATCAAATGACATATTATATTACATTGTTTTCTGAATGGAGAATTGTCAATTTCTCTGTTAGTACCAGCTTCATTCCTACAGGAAAGATAATGACTAGCTTGGATGAATTCGTAGCGGCTCTTGTTGTATAGTTAGGAAGCCAGAACAATTGTGATAGTTAGAGGTAATTGTTTGCTTTTTGCATGTTATTAGTCTATGTTCTTTGGTACATTATTTAATTAAATTAAAATTATTTTGTGCATTACTACCATTAGTATAAAAAAGTAGGGTTAAGTGTCATTGACAGTCGACAGCAAAAAAAAAATGAAGAACTGGATAATTACTTTATTTCTTATTTTTCATGTTTATTCTTTATTTATTATTATAGAAGTAATTAAAATGTAAAAATAGGTACCTCTTTAGGTTAGTTAAGGTTAGATTATATAAAATAACTAATAATATAATAAAAATGTTTCATGAGGCACACATGCACTCGAGCAGCTCATGGGTAATATAATTCGATAGCGTAAAGTGAGCTCCACATTACTCAAATGATTTTCAAATTATAATGGTGGGAATAGTAGTTAGACACGTTCAATGGGCAATAAAACAATAAAATTTAATTATAAATAGATGTGTACTGTTATGTGTTTAAAGCTACTTAGGATAAAAGAATGTGGCTTCATATTACAATTTGAAGTTATTCTAGAAAGAAAAAAGGGTAATTTAAATTTATTTCGATTTTTTGTTTTATTTTTTTTGGTTACGAGGTTGGTTAAATTGACCAACCTTGTATAGAGTTAGGGTAGTGAATATAACAGATAAAATATAAAGTTTTACTGAAAACAAAGATCTGATATGTATTTAGGAGGTTTTAGAGATTATGCAAATTAAATTTTAGATTTTTGAGATGAAGAAAAGTATTTTTAATCTGAACATGAAAATGACTTTGCACATGGACTAGTCAAAACAAATACTCAATATATTCATGGACAAATCTTTTTTGAGTTTATTAAAAATATTTCACTAAAAAATGTAATTTTTGATATGTGAAAGACTTACAACATTTACCTAGAGGGAAGGTAACCAGTATGCTAGTGGGTGAGTTACCTTTCATAGAAGAGCAGTTCAGCAGACTAGCTGTGAACTTGGTCAGACCACTAGCACCTGTATTCAACAAAAGCGACTGGTACATTCTGACAGTCGTCAACTATGCAACACTTTACCCAAAACCCATAGATAGAGAGGGAGTGTTCTGCAGAGTAGGCTTTCCAAAAGAAGTCTTGAATGACAGAAGGACCCAGTTTAACTCAGAACTGATGCAAGAGGTGTGCAAGCTCATTAGGTAGCTCTTTACTACCCTGTACAACTCCAGATGTAATGGACTTTTTGAGAGAGTCAGTGGAGTTGTAAAGAGCATGCTGAAAAAGATGTGCCATGAAAGCCCATGTGACTGGGACAGATACCTGCAAGCAGTATTATTTGCTTACTGAGAAGTCCTACAAGCAAGTAAAGGATTTCCACCCTCTGAGTTATTGTATGGATGAACAGTACAAATATTTGATGCAGATATTGAAAGAACTATGGATGGGAGAAGAAGATTCAAAAGTGAGAAACACATACTAGTACATGTCAGACCTAAGGAACCAACTGGAGGAGACCTATTAACTTGCTCAAAAAAGGCTTGTCTGGAACTCAAGACAGTCAGAAGAACTTCTGTGGTAAGGCCAAGGATCAACATTTCAAAGTCAGACAGTACATCTTGGTTCTGCTACCCACAGATAATAACAAACTCACCCTGCAGTGGAAAGGACCTTTTAATGTATAGGAAGTGGTCAACAGAATGGACTATAAGGTGAAAGCAGATTGGAAGACCATGATCTACCATGCCAGCCTGTTGGAAAGGTACTTCAAGAGGGAAGAAGACCTAATGGATGCAGCTATTGAAGCACGGATGTACATTGCAATAGTGGCTGTCATAGATGCAGAGCTGGAATACATTGACTTTGTCATAGAAGATGAAGATCTACTAGGCCTAACACTGCTGGGTGGAGAGATGTACAAAGATGTCAACATAAGTGAAGAATTGATTGGCAAGCAGAAGAAAGAGCTACATTATCTACTGTCCCAGTATGCAGATGTCTTCACAGATAGACCGGGCAAAACAGACCTTATATAACACAAGATTGAGATGACAAACAGGAATCCAATCAAGGTGAAGCCCTTCCAGATGTCCTATGCGATGAGAGACTTGATCAAGCAAAAAGTCGAGGTAATGTTAGATGCCATAATCATTGAGACTTTGAATTCAGCCTACGGTTCTCCAGTGGTAATTGTGAATAAGAGGGATGGCTCAAACTGCTTCTGCATAGATTTCTGGAAGGTGAAACTCATGACAAAGTTTGACTCTAAACCTATGGGCTACCCAGAAACTATCAAGGCAAAGTAGATGGGGCCAAGTTGTTTAACAAGACAACCTCAGTAAAGGTTGTTGGCAAATCCTGATAGATACAGGATCTAAAGAGAAGACTGCTTTTGTGATACCAGATGAATACTATCAGTCCAAGGGGATGCCATATGGGTTAGTCAACTCGGCAGCGACATTCAATTGCATGATGAGGAAGATGTTGCAGAAAACCACCAACATTGAGCATTATGTGGACAACATTCTGTCCCCACACAATTAGATGGGAAGATCACCTGAAGAAACTCGGAGAGTATGGGCGAGTGAGGGCAGCAGGTCTGTCCATCAGAACCTCTAAGTGCTACATCAGTTATTCTGTGCTAGACTTTGTTGGACACAAGGTGGGTGACCAACAGATAGCCCTATAAGAGAAGAAACTAACTCTCAGACAAGATGCATCAGCTTTGATGACCGAGAAGCAAGTCAGATCCTTCCTGGGGTTTGCAGGATACTATAGGAAATTCATCCCAAACTATGCTGAAGTTACTGCACCACTGACTGACCTCACCAAGAAAGACCAACCCAACAAGTTGAAGTGGGAACAACTACAGCAGATGGCATTTCAGAAGTTGAATAATATGTTAGGAAGTTTGCTTACCCTTAGAATGCCAGACATAAACAAACCCTTCACCTTTCAGGCTGATGCATCAGATGTTGGAATTGAAGCAGTACTTCTGCAAAAACATTTAGACAGACTGTTTCCCATAATGTACATTAGTCAAAAGATGTTGAGTAATGAGAAGAACAACTCTGTGATTGATCAAGCATGTCTGGTAATCATATTTGCCATCCAGAAATTCCAGAACCACCTCTATGGGAAGGAGTTCATCATCCAGATGGACCAACAGCCCCTTGCATAATCCAGAGGTGCAAAATCAGCAGTGCGAGGATAATGAGGTGGACATTGTGCTTCCAGAACTATCAATTATTCATTGAGGGCATCAAGGGGACTGCAAATATTGGTGCAGATTGTATGAGTAGACTTTGTGCATGAACTGAGAACAGTCTTTGTATACAGTATAAAAATATTTTTCTTGAAGAGGGGCTTATTATTAGATATATATGACTGTTTCTGTTTTAAGTATAATGCGAGGGTTATGATTTAGATATTTTTATAGTACAAGTGTTAAATTTAGTTATTTTTAGAAATAATAATTTATCCCAAATTTTTTTATATAACTGTATACCAATCACATATTGTGTAGTTCACTAGTTATGAATTGGTGATTGTTATATTATTGCATCATGTTAGGAACTTCTAAATTTTTCTTGCCTCATAATATGTTGTAATGTGTGGGTGGAACATTCTAGGCCTCTATCAGACTAGAAATATGCATCCAAAATGTAGTTTGTTACAGATAGTTAGATCTAGACTGAGTGACTGTGAGTTTAGCCATAAAGTGTGTATAGTGGTGACTTGTTAAGGTGAAATTATCACAGATTGTATTATAATAACATAGTACAGAAGAATAACTCATATTTTCAATTGTAGTCTAAAGTAATTGAACCAGCCTGTGTGGAAGTTAACAAAAAAAGAGATAATTATGTAAAGCTCTGGATACAACTGTGGTAACCAACGGTTATAGTGGTGATTTTAAAGTGAAATTATCACAGTCTGTATCATAATAACAAAGCAGGAAGAAAAATTTGTCTTATCAAATTGTGTTCTAAAATAACTGAACCAGCCTGTGTGGAATTTGATGAAAAAAAGAGGCAATTACTTAAAACTCTGGATACACTTGTCATAACCAACAGTGTAACAAACATCTATGTGTATGTTTGAGTTATTTTAATATATTATTTTAAAACAAGTGGACTGTGAGCTGTTTGTTGTTGAAATTTATGCCAACAATTCACAGGCACATACTGTAAAGAATCCGACTCAAACATAAAACTTGACAATATATATATAGTCTAATCAGTTTTGAAAACAGCAAAGTTTTCACTGACAGATTATCAGTTATTAAGAAAAATTCATATGCTAAATTGAAATAAGTGAACAATTATAACTAGTTATGTTTTAATACACTTTAAACAATTTTAACATTTTAGTAGTAGTGTACTGTTCACTTTATACTTTTGTTTTATTAGAGTTAAGCATCTTTGATGTATATTTGTTGATACAAATTAAACTGAAAAGAAACAGACCTTACTTTAAATACCAGGAATGTGTTGTCCTTTCTTCACCCACTATCTACCATCATATAAAAGCTAGTATTTTGAGCAAACACGTGCAGGTTTTCACATTCCACATTTAGGTTGTGAGTGTTCATAAGCTCTTTAAAGTTTTATATGTAGTTTTATTATTAATAATTATCTTTTAGTTAATACTTACTGTGCATAAAATCTCATTTGTTATTGATTTCATTAAAGCATTTTGTCAACTTTGCTTGCACAAGTATATGTCAAATGTAAAGTTCTTAGCATTTTTCTGTGTATGAATCCTGATCCTTATTTCTTGTCCTGTATTTGTAACTGTAAACTTTGAAACCACTATTTCCTCTCATGAATGCATGCAAACAACTCTTGTGTTAAATTTGATTAGGAAGATTGTTTTTGTTTAGCATTATGAAATCTTGAATAAAAAATATTTTCTACAGTGTCCTTTGTAAGCTATTTTTCCTAGGGAGAATGTCTTAAAGATACATTGATTTTATTTAATGTCTTTAATTAAATGCCAGATGAATTGTTAGTAATTACAAAAGATTAAAGAACTTTGTTTTTAGTTATGGTAGAATTTATGTACAAACTTTAAGGTATTCTATGCTGATTAAGTTTTCTTTCTCTAATAGCACACACAGAGTTTTATGAACATTTTCCCAATTCACTAAACCTTGTGCAGGGAGACAAGCTAGTTTTAACTTGTAAAGTGAAAGGAGCTCCAATACCAATTGTTACATGGTTAAAAGGTAAAGTAAATAACGTGGAAACCACTAAAATGGCAAAATGTGTTGTTTTTTTCTCAGGAAATATATATTAAATGCATGAATATACACTGTACATACTTTATTTTTTTCTCGCAGGTGAAAAAGTTCTTGTGTAACATTGTAAAAAAGTAATCTGTTTTGAGATACAACAATTCCTTTCTTGAAATGTTATTATGAAAACTGTTTTAACTTATAATCTGTTTTGAGATACAACAATTCCTTTCTTCAAATGTTATTATGAAAACTGTTTTCATTTAGTTTTATAATCTGTTTTGAGATACAACAATTCCTTTCATGAAATGCTATTATGAAAACTGTTTTCACTTAGTTTTATAATCTGTTTTAAGATACAACAATTCCTTTGATGAAATGTTTTCACTTAGATTTCTACATTGGTTTTGTACACATGCAATATTTAGTTGTTTATTTCTTCATGCATTTAAGTCAGGAAATATGTTGGGAATAATAATTATTATGGGGCAGAGAATTGTTTTGCACAATTCAACTTTTATATGAACAAGTGAGATCATGCATTGAACATAATCTGTGCAAAAAGTATGATAATCTTCTAGATATAAATAACATATACAAGTTATATAGCTTAATAAATCTATTTTTAATATATTTCTAAATTAAGGCATTTGTCTTTTTAACCCTATCTACCTAGACATTATTTACTGAGCATGTCATGAGGTTTTAGTGGCTTACATTCAAAATTTTATTGAACTACTTTTTGTTTGTGTTACACCAGTTAGTATGGCATAAAATCATAGCTAATAATCCATATTTTAAGAGTATATAAGTTTTAGTTCTTAATTTTATAAGGCAATATTTAAAAAATATCCTGAATTTTCTCTAGTGTGTGAAAGATGACTAATTTTCTGTAAGCATCTCATCTTCTCTATTTTATTTACCACCCCTCCAGTAGGTATGAAATTCAACATAAATTACTCAGTATGTAATCTTCATCACTCAGACAAACCATACTTTTTAAAGCTTTCAATTTTGTATGGTTACAGAACCATCAAATAGAAAATCAGACCCCTCTTGCCACACCCATCTGTTACATCTTCTCTTTCAGGATTAGTTAATAATTCTCTCTTACGTTTAATTCTATATTATCTGTAACCAATAGAAAGCCAAGGTTTTCATCTATCAAATGACATATAATATTATGTTGTGTTCTGAACAGAGAATTGTCAATTTCTCTTTTAGTACAAGCTTCATTCCCATGAGAAAGATAATGAATAGCTTGGATGAATTTGTAATGGCTCTTATTGCATAGAAATCCAGAAAAATTGTGATAGTTAGAGGAAATTGTCTGCTTTTTGCATGTTATTACTCTATTTCTTTGGTACATTATTTAATTAAATAAAAAATTATTTTGTGCATTAATATCATGAGTATAAAAAAGTAGGGTTAAGTGTCATCGACAGTTGACAGCAAAAAAGAAGACGACATGGGTCAGTTCTTTATTTCTTGTTTTTCATGCTTATTTTTCATTTATTATTAGAAAAGTAACTAAAATGTAAAAATAAGGATATCTTTAGCTTAGTTAAGGTTAGATTAGGTAAAATAAATATTAATAATAATATAATAAAGATATTTCATGAGTCACACACATAAGCAGCTTGGACTAGTTTGTGGGTAATGTAATTTGATAGTGTAACATGAGCTGCATGTTCCCCAAATGATTTATAGTGATGCAAATAATAGTTAGACATTGTTCAATGGACAATCGGAGGGCAATAAAACAATAACATTTAATTATAAATAGATGTTTACTGTTACGAGTTTAAAGCTACTTATGATAAACTAATGTAGTTTCATGTTACATTTGAAGTCATTCTAAAAAGAATCATAATTCAGATTTATTTTGATTCTTTTTTTTGGTGGTTATGAGGTATAGAGTTATGGTGGAGAGAATAACAGATAAAATATAAAGTTTTGCTGAAAACAAACATTTGAAATGTGTTTATGAGGTTTTATAGATTACAGAAATGAAATTTGAGATTTTTGAGATGAAAAAAAGTATTTTTAATCTTAACATGAAAATGACTTTGCACATGGACTATTCAAAACAAATACTTAATATATTCATGGATACATCTTTTTTGAGTTTATTAAAAATACTTCACTATAAACTATGATTTTTTGTATGTGAAAGACTTATAATGTTTACTGAAAGACTGCCAAGTTTCGTGAAGATATACACACTATATAAAAAGTGTTAGTAGTATCAAATCTATAAAGTCTTTGAATGAGTACATAAAGATCATGTGGTAGGGCAAATTGACCGAGCTGATATTGAGAGAGATAATGATTTTTTTTCAAGGTAACATGCATGTAAATAACCAAATTGTTAATATTATTTAACTTAAGAAAACAAGATAGTTTTTTTTCTTATTTTGCATGTTTTAGAACATTTACAAGATACAAATATACTGTTCATGTATTTTTTCACGATACTTTTTTTTTAACTATGCAGTTTGTGTAAAAACCTTCAGTTTTGAAAGTTAGTACTAATTTGTAAGTATTTATTCCTAAGTAGGTGAAAGTATATTTTATTAACTATGCTGATAGCTAGGTGAATTTGTAGTTTTGCTTTAAGTACAGAGCCTACTCTGATCATAAGTTATTATTATTATTACATATGGGTTAGTAATAACACACCCATTTTTTTACATATGCAGTGTTTCTTAGTTGAAAAAGTAATTTTTTTACAAATTTCAATTTAAAGGTAACTCAAGAATAAAATTTTGAAAATGCAGCCTATAAATTACCTGTATACCACTTAAACTCTCTTTTTTTATGAATCCTGAATAAAACAACTCTGAGACCTCAATTTTTTATTTACAATGGTGTACTGTAATCATTAACTGTTTAATTACATTTGCATAAATATATTAAGTAATGAAAATGTTTTAAAACTTTTTTGTTGCTAATTATTTTTGCAAACAGCTAAATTAAATATATTAAGCATGCTGAACACATTGTGAAATTTAGATATCTCTATTTCCAAACTTTTTGAGTGATACATACTTCTGTGCTGCAGCTCTCTCGCTATGAAATTTTTTCTGTGTATGTCATGACGGTTTAGTGACTTACATTAAAAATTTAATTAAAATACATTATTATCATAGTATACAAATGTACTTGGCATCAAAACATTAATTGTTAAATATTATATGTTTTAAATTCTTAATTTTATAAGGCAATATTTAAAATAATTCTACTAGTATGAGAATTGTTACATTTGCTCTCTAGGTATACCCTCTTCTCTAATTTATTTATTTACCACCCCTCCAAGAAGATTGAAATTTAATGTAAATTATTAATTATAAGGCTGTCATCACTCAGGCAAACCATAATTTTTATAGCCTTCAAACTTATTTGGTTACAGAGCCATAAACAAGAAAATCAGATGCCTTTTGCCATGCCCACATGTCACCTCATCTCTTTCACAAATTGCTAATAGTTCTGTCATTATCTCAGGTTAGTGTGTCCAGAATAATACAGAACACACTAACCAGAGATAATGAAAACCTTCCTATATTCTAGAATAATAGAGAACACACTAACAACAGATAATGAGATGTTGTGGGTGCAAGTACTCAACTCCATACCCTTAATTAATTTTCCATGTTTGCTGGCTAATTTAAAATCAGTATTTGGAGTTTATCTGATAGTTGGGATATCCCCAACACATTTGGGAACTGTTACCACAGACATTATCCACTATGACTTTAAGATGACAATTAGGACTGACAATGGAATTTTTACTTAACTCTTTTTTAATTCTAATTTTATATATATATAGAGAGAAATTTATGGTCACAGTTATCAAGGAATTTTTGACAAATAAACTGATTAATCTTCGTGGGAACTTCTTTATTTTTATATGTTTATTTTTTATTTATATGTACATATTGTATATGGCAAAAAATAAATCTAAATGATAATAAAATTTAAAAAAAATATTTTATACCCCATCAGATTTTTGAATATAATTTCTAAGCAATTTATGATGTATCTATCACCACCACCTCTTTTTCCCATTTCTCATACCTCTGTCACTTCTCACTACTCCCATACTGTTGGATTGTCCAAAGCACATCCCATTATGACTATCTTTCTTTGTACCAAGTTGGCTCAGGCCCATAGGGGCACATCTGTTACTATTTGCAGATTTTTTTTACCCCTTTTGTGATCAACCAGTGGGTCATTCAGGTTCTTAAAATGGGCCTTTTTTCTTTACTTCTTGTCAATTCCACCACTGTCGTCTTTTCCTGTTTATTTTCCTCCTCCTCCTTATCCTCAGCATCTTCTGTGTCTTGAGATCGTGATGTTGTATCTTTCAAACATTAGAGCCATCAAAAGGGTCCTTTGCCCCTCTCCAGGGTTTTGTTTTTGTTCTATTGTTGTCCCCAGAAAGATCAGGGTGAGGCATCCCATCAATGATATTTTTCCACTCAACTACTATCTGGTGATCAAGCTACCAGTTTCAGACTTTTCCCTTTGATATTACTTTGACTCCTTATGTCTTCAACCAAGTCATGGGGACATTTATTCACCATGTTCACAGTTTTGTACTTTGTTCCATTATTTCATGAACGAAGGTCTCTACCTTGACTTTTCTCAGGAGACCTCCTTCTTGGCCACATCACTTTGTCTGAACTAACTGGTCACATTTCCCAAGTTGTTTCTGACTCTGACTCAATACTTGGTCCACCTTGGCGTCTTTGCCAATTCTCGACTTAGTCAGGCTCAGCCTTCCCATATTTGTCTATGGGACATGAAATATCTAGTCACTATGACTCCTGCCTCTTGTATACTTCCTGCATGAGCGATTCTATCTCTCGGGGACTCTTGTATCTTTATAACTTATTCTTATAGGCAAGGTCTCTCTTGAGACTTTTTCAATGGATTTTAAGCAAACAATGTGATATGTTTTGGGATCCTCTGCCCTCTCTTGTGATTTT